CAATTACGTGACATTTACTCGAATAAACATATATATGTATATGTATGTATATATGTATTTTTATATGTATGTTTATGTGCAAATCTGCGTATCTTCAAGTGTTGATGTGGTTGCGTGGGTGGGTTTTTTGATTTCATTCATGAAACTCACCTTTATCTCATCGCTTGGCAGCTCTTTCTTGATTTGAACAACGCCGCCTGCCCCAGTTGGAGGCACGACGCTGGCTGCTGCTGCTGCCACATTGCCTTCACGTGAATTCGATGGTGATGTTTTGGCCGACATTGCTAACGGGACTCAATTCAAATCGTTAAGGCAACTGAAACGCGAAAAATTACGAGTTAAGCGAAAAGCACAGTAATTGAAATTATTTTTTGAACATATTGGAATCACACGATTATTTTCTCTTGAATATACATATGTCATTAATATCTAATTTGTTCCTGGATTTTCGCACTTGTTTTTGAAAATAATCTGCTGAACTCTTATCGCTTGTTTTAAATAGAGAAATATGCTTATTGATAATAAAGGATTCACAATCAGCTATTTTCTGAGTACAAATTTAGGGTTTCTAAGCTAAACTGATTATAGAACTTGTTACTGAAAATCCTACTCTTTAATCAAAGTGCTTTAAAATGCCTTAAATTACCTTCACCAAATTTCAAAGTTGTTTAGTTCTCTAGAAGATTACAATCTCTTCGAAATACAATTATATTTTTCGTTTTTCTAATACCACGAAGTTTCTTCTCCTGCTTGAGATCACCCAGATTTACAGATGTATTTATTTTCTTCTCGTTTGTAAAGCTAACGATCAATCATGGCATGTGTTGCATCTGCTCACATTATGAGCCAAACACGCCCACATCTACACCGCCCCATAATCCGTTTTCTTTTTCTACTTTTGCTTCTACTCTTTCTTCTTCTTGCTTGTCTTCGTTTTGGGTCCATAATTAATTACAGCGTCTTCTTAATTTTCACTGAGCGCCTTCGATACGAGTTTTACTGGGTGTTTTTGTGTGTGTGTGTGTGTGTGTGTGTGAGTTTGTTTGTGTCTATGCTTTGCATATTGTTTCGCATCCATTTGATACGCACGCAAGCAGACGGCGGCAGAGTATTTATATACCCGAACCTGTATCTGTAGCTGTGCACACATGCACAAGTAGCTGTATTTGCGCGTGTGTGTGTGTTCGTGTGTGTGTGTGAGCGTGTTTGGTTCGCGCGCACTTTGGTGTCTTGTAATTTAATACCTCATACGAAACGTTACCACCTATCGCATAACACAGCACACAAACACACACACACACACACTATTCAAAAATATAATTTACAATAACAAATGCCCAACAAGAGCCACACATACGAACATACCTACAAAAATATATTAACAATAAGAAGTAAATACATTTTGAGCGCGAGCATGAATGGAAAACTAAGAGTTCCCAACTATATCGGATATATGGGAATGTGGCATTATCTATAGCTAAAGCGGTTCTTTCTCGTCTGCCCTATATACATATGTAGCTTGTAAACGAGAAACTTTCAGCAGACTATAATTAATATCTGTTTTATATGTCGGGCTATATTCATATTCTGTATATACATCTTTCATATACAGAAATATTCACATCTGCCTCAGCATAATATATATATCATTTTGGATTAATTTCGAAATGTTCACACCAAATGCGTTTTTTATTTGCTCTTTACACCTTTGTTTATTAATTCTTATATATGTACATATATGTACATATGTGGATAGGTTTTAATGATATTTTCTTTGTTGATCTTTATCTCTTCTCTCTCACTGAAACAATTCATTTATTCGCGTTGTTAGCTTTCGCAAATAAAACAGATTTCTTGCTTCTTCTTATTTTTTTTTTTTTTTGAAAAGTATTTCAATTTCAAGGATTATTTTGATGTATCAAAACGTACTCAATTGATTTCACTTAAGTATATATGTATCTTGGTTATTCACTTCAGAAATTAAATATACATATACATATGTATATTTTCCAATGCAGCGCGCCTGTCCAATATATATTCCGAAAATAGCTTTATATTTTCGACATTGTGTATATATTTTGTATGCGGCCTTTCTCACTCACAATTGCCTTTCTTTTTCCTTTTCGTATTTTTTAATTTATTTATATTTCTCTTTTTTGATTTGATTTTCCGCTTTACAACAAACACCGCAACCGAACGTCAAGGAAAACCATGCCCAATGCTCATTTTCATTTTCACTTTTCACATGCACACCGCGGCACGAATACGATTTTCCGACGAATCTTCTGACTGCGTTGTTGGTTTGTTTCAAAAAAGTTTTCAGATTCTTCACGATTCTTTCTCGCTAGTTGCGCCTTTTCCTCTTCTTTTTCAATCGTTCGCTCCGAGCGACGTCCGCATGCGGCCGCGTTTCATCAACGTTTGACGCTGGCGGCCACTGCCATGTGGATTTTACTTATTCGCTGTAGGCTGCGCCGCACAGTGGTGCAGCGACCACAATTACGCTTGGAAAATATTCTAATGCTATCAATTCATCATCAGTTGAACAATTGTATAATGTGAACCTTGTACTAACGTATGCTGAATAAATTAAACAACATTTTATATAATATAAATTATATTCGATTTTCGATAAAATCACCGACCTTAAAATGTTAGTTCAAATTTACTCTTCTGTATAAAAAATATGTACCCACTGAAGTAAATATATATTTTAGAACGTTTGAAATAAATTAAACATATGGAAATTGAATTTAAGTAATTTTCGCCTGTAAACCAATACAAAAACGGTACTTTATATGCTGAATAGTTATCATATAATAAATAACTTTAAAGTATTCATTTAATTAATATACAGTCATTTGAGAAATTATAATTCGTATTTAATTATTGAAAGCCTATTTTACTTTTGTGTATTGTTCATATTGTTTCATAGAGTTTTTCCCGAATAGCTTTCAGTGTGCAGCTGCTGCTTGCGCTCTGCTTCGTGTTGTGGCCTCTGCTGCGTTTGCGCGCAGTTGTGGGTCCCCCACAGGCAACGACGACTTCCCAGTTCGAAATGCTGTTGTTGATGACGTATTAAATGGAGAGCGTCCCCAAGCACCCAAGGGTCTTCTCACTCCTCTCGGCCCACATTCCACCATTCCACATAGCTGCTGACTCTGATGAGTCAAAGAATTTTCCGTCTCATGAAAACGAAAACGAAAACGAAATAGTCTCAGTTTATTTCTCTCTTTCTTTCTTTCTCTCTCTCTCTCTCTCTCTCTCTCTCTCTCTCTCTCTCTCTCTCTCTCTCTCTGTGTCGATGCCTCTGTATTTCTCTCTTCTCTCCGTGTTTTGCCATCTCTCAGAGCAGTAGTGGATGCAACTTAGAGTGTGTTAAAAATAAATTGCATCGTGTGGCTGCTTACCTGCTCGATTCGGAAATATATTTTTATATATAAATATGTTTACATATATATTTACAATTTGTTGTTGTTCGTTTAAGAAAATTTATTATTGTGTTATGTCTAATTTGATTTAATTTATTTGCAAATTTCTTCTAGCTGCACTGAGATAAATGCACTTGAAACAATGAATTTCAAATACAAAATATAAATCTGAGACAGTTCAAGTAATTCGAAAAATTTGTATGAGCCACAAAGATCAAACTGTCATATATTATTGAAATTAGAAGATAAAAAGCCACTTCAGACTTGGACAAAGTTCATATTTGCTTAGATGATTCAATATCAAAATTGTAGAACACACCGAACCCAAAGAGATGGCTCAACAGTTAGGATCTAGCTGCCAATATTGGTAACGGGACAGGTTGATGGAAATGAAAAGCATGAAAACAGCTGCCAATCGTGCCCTGCGGCGATTGTCAACAATAATGTATGAAGTAGGCAGCTCGTAACAACTACATGCAGTACACACCTACATACATATATTTAGATATGTAAAGTGGTAAAGCGGTGCCAGTCGTCGGCGCCCTTTAAGTTATGGTACCTGGAACTGGCGCAAGAACAGAACATACATACATAAATTGGCCAAGACAGTCCACTCGGCTTTGGCTAACTTGGCTGTCTGTCGTCTGTTCTTCGGCATGCATCACCATCCACTCTTTGAAAAATAAAAGAAATAACTGAATGACTTGTTCAAATAGGACATCACAATAAGCAACAGCAGTAGCAACAGCAGAGATCGTGAGCATAAAAATAATTCAAAACAGCTGCCGTGTCAATCATAATGGGCGCGCAATGAACAAACAATGCAACAGGAGATAAATTAAGCATTGCAACAATTTATTTGATAGATTACATACAAATGTATGCACATGCATACATGTAAATATGTGTATTTAAATATGTATGTACATAATTCACTTTCGATTCAAGTGCCAAATTGAGTCCTCATTTTGTGTGCTGTACGCATATGTGCTGACTAATGTATTTTGTGACAACCGTTGAAAAATGCATTTAAGTATTTGATTTTTTTTCAGTCTATGTCAATGAAATTAAAAAAAAAAAAAATTGTTGCTGCTTCGTTTCAGAACAAGCATACGCTGCTTAACGAGAACAGTTCATGTTGGCATTTAGTCAAGATCAGTTCATGTGACTCCGTGGCGCAACGGTAGCGCGTCTGACTCCAGATCAGAAGGTTGCGTGTTCAAATCACGTCGGGGTCAACGTAAATGGATATTTTTAAAATTTTTTTTTCCAATTTTTCGGCCATACATTTTTTAGTCCATATTATTTTACAGTGCCCAATACTAGTTAAATTAACTTCATATGAACCCAATTAAAAATTAAAATACTATATGACAGCGAAAGTGTATTAATTTATTAAAAGAATAAAACAAACCCATTATTAAACTTATACAATGTGTACCTGCATATTTTAATAATTTGAATACGTAAGCATGTATTTTCTGCCAACACACATTTCGTTTCTGCTTTGTGCAACCATACGTCACTCTTAAATGTTGGGAGAGCGCATGCTCTTAAACTCAAAGAGAATCAGCTGTGGATTGGACTGGAAACAGCTGTTGGCATCAGCTGCTTCAAGTGCACGCGAATAGCAGAAACGTAATCAAAAAGTGAAAAGGCATAAATTATAATAGTTTTCAAACATAAAATAAGTAAACACACATAAAATGATAAAATGTCAAAACTGCCAAAATCTGCGCTTAGCTTAAAACAGGTAAGTGACAGATGGCACCTGGAATTTAGCTTTCTAAAATTTCTCATTCTCTGCTTCACCCAGTTCATGCTGCGCCAGGAGGTGCTGAAGCTGTATAGAGAAATTTGGCGCACTACGCGGCTGGTGCCGGACCAGCATAGCCGACAAGAGCTTAGGGCCTGGGCTCGCCACGACTTCCAAGCGAATCGCAACCAAAGCGACGAGGTGGCCATCAAAATGCTGATGCAGAGCGCCAGACGCAGCCTGACGGAGCTGCAGACCAGCCTCCAACTGAGCGGCACGAGCGTGAAGTGAGAAAAATGCTTGCATCTTTTATTTGAGCTTTGCAAACTTGGCTGCTGCAATCGAATTACAGCGACATAAAACACGATAATAAATAAATAAAGCTTAAAGAGAAAGACCTTTGAGGCGCTATAGCAAAGTCTGTGTTCGTTTCCGTGTCTGTGTAGAAAAAAGCAGTCTAGCATTTTGGTAGATGTTAACTAGGATGAGAGAGGAGCGAATTGAGTGATTCACAGCAGCGGGCGTAGCAGACTCAGCCAGGCGACCTTCAGCAGAGCCAGTCCGAAAAGCAGGGAGCCGACGCTAGTGATGATCAGCGAGATGAGATCCCGTTTAGCGTGCTCTTCGACGCGCCCCACCAGGAAGCTGTGTATTACGGTGCTGGTGATGTGGGCGCCGTCGAAGCCAAAGCAGGGGATGGCATTGATCAAAGCGAGTCCAATGCTGAACACCACATTGTATTTGAGTAGCAGCGAAAGGGCATCGGGCCAAGCGGAACTGATCTGTTTATAGCGGGGCACAAAGGCCGAAACGCGCACTGAGCGCAACACATCACGTGGCTGGCCCACATACATCACGGGCGGCAGGGCCTCGTGGTCTAGACTCTGCCTCTTGAACACCAGAATCCTCGTTGTGTTCTGCAGCATGGGCCGCAGACAGTATCCCTGGGCACACGAGCCTGCTCTGCAATAGCCACTCGAGTCCTCCAGCGTGCGCCGCATGGGTAGGCACACGTGTTGCGGTATCTCGGCTGGCGCATCCACAGTGGCGTCCTCGATGTACTCGAAGCAGCTGACATTGGGATTACGCTCGTCACAGCACTGCAACCTGCCCTCCGCATTGTGATGGGCTATGTCGATGCTCTCGTCATTGAGTCGTATGAAGTCGGAGCTGATGCAATATCCCAAACGCTGCTGCTGCGCCTGTTGCAGGCAACTCAGCCAGCTGTCCTCGTTGTTGACGGGGCAGTCGTTCAGCTGAGTGATTACATTCTGCACCTGCAGGCCGCGATCGCCTCGCAGTGGCGACTTGGCCGTCAGCTCTGTGACAATCACGTGCTCGTTGTATTGGTAGAAGGGCGACATGATCATGCCCAGCGTCGAGATGAACAGATAGCAGACGCAGGCGAACACAAAGTTGTTCCAAATGCCGGCGCAAAGAATGCGCAGCTTGCGAATCCAGCGCAAGCTGTTCAGATGATCATGCGAAAGCTCCGTGTAGGCCAGCGGCAGGCAGAAGTAGACCTGCGAAATGCGAAATGCAAATGTTATCTAACAACTTTTTGGAGTCCTCTCCCATCTCACCCTGAAGCCGAAGCCCGTGACGGGCACGTCCTCCAGCACGGCGGCGAACGCATGGCCCATTTCGTGGAGCAGTGTACAGAGCACTAATGTGGCTATATAATAACCGATCTCTTGCAGCGGCAGATTGACTCCGGGCAACAGAATTTCAAGCTGCACCGTCGCCGTGGCTGCTGCCGCACCTCCAGCAACAGCTGCCGCTCCATCACTGCCATTAAATATGGTAATGATGAGCAGTATTATGCCAATGGGCAGCAACAGAAAGGATAGCAGGACGCCTAAATTGAAGCACTTAACCAGAAAACCTCTCGTGCAGCTCTTGCCGGCTGCGGAGCCCCAGCGAATCAGCATCCGATTGAAGGCGCTGGCATTGGAGTGCCAGTGAAGGCTCATGAAGTTGACATTCAGTCCTGTGTTGCGCAGAAAGACGTCGTAGGGATAGTGCATGCAGCTCTGCAGGAGAAATTCAATAATTAAATTCGATTCGACAATTCATTCATTCGATGCCACCAAGCACACCTTGAAAAAGCGATCAAAAAAATACATGACACCATATAAAATCGTCAGCACTGAGAAGAATATTATGGGATCCATTGTGCGCAAGTTTGTTGTGTTCACTTTGTGCTAAACCTCAAACGACGCACATTGTTATTGTCATTTAATTTTATTGTTGATTTTTTATGGCCTAGCCGAACAGTTTGCCGAACAGCTGATTGTGCATCTACCGGGCTGCCAACTTGGTTTACTTTTTGTTAGTAAATAGTGAAACTCTTTGAATACTATTATTATTGTCATTTTGATTTATTACAAACCCTCTTATTCGATCGCTGATTAATTTGATACTGTTACCAACAGGTGGACTTGGGAACCAGTGCATGACTTCACAATTTCCCCACAGCAACAACCTCTTTTCATAAATACCACAGATACCAGAGCGTTGCCATACTTCAATATGTGCGTTCAAGAACAAGCGTCATCCCGTTGACTTAATTCCACAATTCATCAAATTTCGCATATTATCATAAACTAAAAATGCCAAAAGTGCGTCGTAGTCGTAAACCGCCACCAGATGGCTGGGAACTTATTGAACCCACACTGGAAGAGCTGGAGCAGAAAATGCGCGAGGCCGAAACGGAACCGCACGAAGGTAAACGCATTACGGAATCACTTTGGCCGATCTTCAAAATACATCACCAGAAGACGCGCTATATCTACGATTTATACTATCGCCGTAAGGCTATCAGTCGTGAACTGTACGATTACTGCCTGAAGGAGAAGATTGCCGATGCCAACTTGATAGCCAAGTGGAAGAAGTCGGGCTACGAAAACCTTTGCTGCCTGCGGTGCATTCAAACGCGTGACACAAATTTCGGCACGAACTGCATCTGCCGCGTGCCCAAGTCAAAGCTGGAGGAGGGACGCATAGTGGAATGCGTTCACTGCGGATGCCGCGGCTGTTCCGGCTGAGTAAATACGAGTGTGGTTTAGAGCCTTTCCGAGCTTATATTCAAAAGTAGACAGAACAAAGGAAAAATAAGATATAAAGTATATATCTATCCTCTTGTTCTGGAATAACACTCGTGCAGTTTGAAGTCTGAGTTGATATGTGTGTATAGAGTAAAAAATGAATTGAGCTGCTTCCTAGGCAGCAGGAAGAGAAGTACAGTTGATTACATAGTGAAATCTAAACAAAATTTTAAAAATAGAATATATATCGATATAAATGTAAACTTTTGACTTAAACATAAATTAAATATGAATTTATATTATCAATTTTATTCTTAACAAGTTTGAAAGTTTCTTTGTTGCAATTAAAAAGCTTATTTTGAGACTTTCAGTAGATTAGATTGGCTTTTCTTTTTGCAAACTTTCAGTGTAGGTAAACGTGAGTAGTTATGAATATATAACCACTAGAGAGCTCTCTGGTTAGTGGTATAACTGTACTAGTCTTATACATACACACGACTATCACCCAATTTCAGATTTCTATAATATGTTTTACTTAAATCATAAGTTAGTGGGTATCAATGGATGGTATTCCTTGCCATTTTACTATTCTATTCCGACTAGGCATTTTTTGCTAGTAGTCTTAGTACCCCTTTTGGTTTCGTTGAAAAATATGCCAAGCCTACAAAATTTGAAATATATTAATATATCTTTTGGAATTATATGTATAACAGTATGCATATTTTGCATATGTGTTGAGATAAAGTCTTACATTGCCCATAAGGGAGAGTATGCCAACATTATACTATTTAGTTTTACGATTGTGCATGTCGTTTCGTGCATTCTTTTAATAATTGGCGTTAAGCTGGTAAGGCAAGTAATATCGGTCTCTGCTAAATGGAATGTAATTCGAAACGAGAGTGCTTTTTGCAGATGAATTATAATTTTCTGATACCCTGGATGACCTGTTTGCCCCTCACCATTCTGAACTTCAACGTACTGTTCCTACTTGTTTTGAAGATGGTCTGGAGCATTATGACATCCATGATGATATGTATGTAAAGTTTTTAACCTAATATACGCAAGGCAGCCCTCCATATAATATCTTTCTTGCAGCCATTGCAATGTGGCTATTTGTTTTGAACATGTTCCTGAAGCTTCTCAAGGAGAAACGCAGAGCGAAAGCCGAAATGCCTTCTTCGAGCATTCTGGCCTATCAGCTTTCCGTAAGTTCCTGACCTAAGCGGCCAAAAATGCTGAGCAAAACAAAACGGAAATACAACGAATCAACTCTGTCGCACTCGCACGGAGCCCGGGCACTGCTATCCCGCTCACTCGTCACTCGTACTGCCACGCAACTCACCTCAAGCTCACCACAGTCCACAGTTCGTGTTGGAGTTGAGTTCGGCGCGTGCCCTGCTTTGTGTGGAATCGATTCAAAGCCATCGAGAGGACACACGGCGGAGCAGTATTACGCCGAGCAGTGAGCCAAGCACATCGAACCCAAAAGAAAAGAAACAGAAAATCGCAGAAAAGTTGTCACAGATATACCTAGTCAAGGATCAGATGGAACAATAAATGAAATTAGTTCGAAAAGTGTGCAGCCCAAATGTTATTTTCAATTCCCGGCAACAGACTGATGCACTCCACTGTAAATCAGTTATAAAGTGCATTCCAAGCGATCGGGCGATGTGCAACAATAGAAATATTTTTTATCGATTTGTAGCAGAAACTCTAGTTTGTTGAGTCCTCCAAGAGACACTGATACTGGCAGTGTGTGTGTGTGGGTGTATGTGTGTTAGTGGGCCTTTGTGTGTTAGTGCAGCAGCGGAAACAGGAACAGCAACTGGCATTAGCACACGACAAGATGACGCAAATGCGCCTTAGAGCGGAATAAACGTTCAGCTCACGCAAGTTCCTGCCAAGCCTTAAATGCAACACAAATAAATTTAACGGAACCCTGATAATAACAATAGCAAAATAAACAAATAGTCGCTGTACAGGAATCCAGTGCCAAAGCTTTAAGCCAGCACGCCTCGCCCATCACGCATACGCCGTGTGCGCGCTAACTGTTGTTATTCCGGAAATTGGGCCAACCCGTGGCGTTGCCCGTGCCGTTGCTTTTGTTCCTGCTCCTGCTTCTGCTTCTGCTTTAGCTGCAGCTGCAGCTGTAGCTGCTGCTGTGCTCCTTTGTGCTGTCCGCGCGTGGCCCCATCGAGCTAAACCAATGCATTTGAGTGCACAGCAACAACGCCCCAAGCAACAACAACAACAACGCGAGCAACAAGAGATACACCAGAGAAGGCGTCTCACATACCGCAAAGGACGAGCATGTCATCCCTGCAGCGCGAATGGCATTTACAGGTGAGCGAGCGAGCCCTGGGCCTTTTGCTGAACATTAACTCACAGTCTAAACGTGTTTGCATACCAATTGGAATATAGTCACACACCCAGCGACACCTGAGGTCAAGAAACGCGCCTAATTTATGTGGTCAGAGGCCGTGCCGTGAGCTCGGCCCAAGCGCAAACACATTGAGGTAGTTTGAGGTCGCTTGGCAGGCATTGTAGCATTTGGTGAGCATGCGCTTGGCCCCGTCCATCGCACACCTCGTCCACGACGACGACGACAACGAAAACAAAGCGAATCACTCGACTCGCCGTAAACAATGCGCCAATGCGAAAGGCTGGGTAGTGGGTCAAAGCCGGATCCAACACATGTCCGACAATGAATGTGTAGGGAGGGGGAAAGGGGGGGGGGGGCGTGGAAGGCGTCCGGTGTATGCTCACAAGTAACAGACCACAA